TTCATACAATACAATACAGTTAACCCTTTACCTCATATATACGCGAAACAACGCACTTTCAACCCCCCCCCCCCCCCTCTTTAAGGCCTGAAATAGTGAAAAAATGTCCTGTTTGGGCCCAAAACACATGTTTTCATTTGAGAAATGTTGTTAAAAAAAGTGACTATTTTTTCGGCGCAGCCCCCCAACCAAAAGATACATCAGAGGGTTGCCAGAAGGGGGTTGTGCCCCCTTCTGTTTGGGGGGTTTGAAGGGGGGGGCGGCTAAAAATGACCCCAGATCAATCATAAGGTAACGTGTAACCAACGTTGAAAAGCATTTGACTCTATCTCAATCCATTGAGAATTTGCAGCACTTTGAAATCAATTTTGATGGAAAAAATCAACGCAAAATAGTGACTTTTGGCAATTTTGAGATGTCCCCTCGTTGCCATGGTAACAAGAAATTTAAGCCTGAGAATGTTGTTACAAAGGCAATGGTCCAGTCAATATTTGTGCCAAGTTTGATAAGTATTGAAGCATTTTTTATAGTTTTATAGAAATTTGAACTTGTAATGGGAAAACAGCCATTTTTCACAAAATGCTTAATGAAGTAATGGGTTAATCATTTTCTTAAAGAAGATTTCATTTAAATCCAAAAAATACCAAAACCACACAGATAGTTACACGCCATTTGTGAATGATACACAGTCGACCTACTAATTGCCCTCTCCCTTCTCCGACAGTCGACGGTCTCCCAAGACCTTTTTCTATTGATCGATTTTTGTCAACTATATTCTTGATACAAATGTATTTTCTTTTTTGAAAAGAGTTAAATGAAGTATCTTTAAATTAAAAAAAAAAATTCCCCCACAGGAAACCATTTTAACTTGTATTACATGGAGAGAAAATTGTACACTTAAAATCTATATCAGTGATAACATGCATTAAAATCAGGCAAGTGACTTAGAGAATTTCCGAAACTGTGTTCTGCCCTGGCGGGTGAGGGGGGGGGGGTCCAATTCTTGTCCAGATCATATCTCCTACATGCATTGAGGATATTTAATTAAACTTCATAGAAATGTTCACCACTTTGAGAAGCTGTGTTGTGCACGTGAACCAGGTCTCTAGGTCAAAGGTCACACTAAGAGGTCATTGAAAAAAGCTTGTCCAGAGCTAAACTACATAAAGTGATTTCAATATAACTTAGCACAAATGTTAACCATTGCAAGACTGAGTGTCGCGAGCATAATTTAGGTATCTGCAACCAAGGTCAAGGTCACACATAGGGGTCGAAGTTTAGATAAAAATATGAAAATGTGTATTCAGACCATTACGTCAACATTTATTGAGGGATTTAAACACAAATGGTCATTCTACTGGTGTGAAACATGTAATTTGGGTTAATATATGCAAGGTCAAGGTCACTAAAGATGATAAAATATAGAGATTTTGTCCAGAGCACATCTCATACACCTATGGAGGGATTCTAATGAAACATCATACAAATCTTCAACATTATGAGAAGCAGTGTCATGCGCATGAACCAGGTTTCTAGGTCAGAGGTCTAGGTCACACTGAGAGGTCATTGAAAAACGCTAGTTCAAAGCAAAACTTTTTCATGCATAGAGAGATTTCAATATAACTTGGCACAAATGTTCACCATGGTAAGGCCAAGTGTTGCATGCAAAATTCAAGTGCCTGTGGCCAAGGTCAAGCTAAGTATTGCGCACATAATCCAGGTCCCTGCTACAAAAGTTAAGGTCACATAGAGAGGACAGGGACCATTTAGTCATCATTTATTGATAGATTGTAACACAAATGATAATTATCATGACTAAAAGTGTGTAGTAATATAGGTTAATATTTGCAAAGTCAAGGTCACTAGAGATAATAAAATATCCAGATATCATACCTCCTATATGCATCTCTCTAATGCTCACATCTCTGACAAAAGCTAATTAGTCGACTATATTTGTAACAGTTTAATATTATACCTATGGTAGGAGAAGCAACTATTGAACAATTAAAGAACACATTTATGTTTCAGTAATCTTTAAAATTCAAACATATAATAACGTTGCTCAATGAAATGAAATATACAAATATTGACATCTTAAAAAGCAACAGTGCATTTTTTATAAAATGAATTAAGAACGTATCCCTATGGAAAAGTCATTAAACTTAGTGATACTTTTACATTTTTTAAGTGTCACGTGGTGCTATTTTACGACAAATAAATCATGCATTATATTTGAAATGATACTATCAAATTATCTGGTTGTTTATATCTTATGAGACCTATTCGATTTTATTATTGTATTTAATTATTAACAGGTTCACAAGAATCATGTGACTACACGTTGTATGTTATTGTTATAAAATCTAGTAATAGTAAGAAATTGCTGATAAGACATACAGGTAACTTCGAGGTATGGCAGCTGATAAAGTGCAAATCATAGTAATTTTGTATGAATAATTACAAAGTAATTTTTGTTAATCAGTAATTCAGTTTCATATTTTTATCATTAGAAAGGTCTATATACATGTACTCATATTTTACACATTAAGAAAAGATTTTCTTGGTAAAGGGTTAAACTTGGCCCTTTCTGTCCTGCTGACGTTTAAAGTTTAGGTTGAACATTACAAAATAAATGTATGAGTGGTAATCGTTGATTTCGTTATAGTCCGTCGATTTCCGTCGCACAGGTTTCTGTAGGGGGAATATCCCTGTATCCGGAAAAGTATTAGATAGATCTACATAGAGAAAAGTAATAGTCTTCTTTAATCTAAATATTATTTCAGTAGCATCTAAATTGATAATGATAAACTTACAAATACTTTGAACAAGAGTCTAAGATGTTTACTTGTAAACAACCACAATATTTATATTAATTGCACTCCTACATTACTGGTTCTCAATAATTTTAAAAGGGACTACACTTTTACTTTTAAAGGTATGAACTCTCCAGTCTTAAACACTATACTGTGATTTGAGTTTTACTTTCAGATACTTTGTACAAACATTACCAGTTACCTACTTGTTGATTTTAAGTTTGAAATAACACAAACATTTATGTTCTACATTTTGTCTTCTTGGCAATGTTTTAAGTTGTTATTAGCTCACCTGAGCATATGCTCAGGGTGAGCTATTAGGATCACTCTTCGTCCGTCGTCTGTCGTCGTCGTACGTCGTACGTCGTCCGTTGTCCGTTCACACTTTTCAAATGACATCTCCTCTGAAACCATAAGGCAGATCATAATGAAACTTCACAGGGATGTTCCTTGTGTGAAGCCTTAACAAAGTTGTTCAAAGAATTCCATTCCATGCAGAACTCTGGTTACCATGGCAACCAAAAGAAAAAACTTTAAACATCTTCTTCTAGAAAACCCAAAGAGCTAGAGCTTAGATATTTGGCATGAAACATCGTCAAGTGAGTGTCTACCAAGATTGTTCAAATAAAAGCCCTGGGGTAAAAATTGGCCCCGCCCCAGGGGGTCATTGATTTTCCCTATATGCATATAGTAAAAACTTAAAAAAATCTTCTTTTAAAGAACCCAAAGAGCTAGAGCTAAGATATTAAGCATGAAACATCTTCTAATAAGTGTCTACCAAGATTGTTCAAATAAAAGCCCTGGGGTCAAAATTGGCCCCGCCCCAGGGGGTCATTGATTTTCCTTATATGCATATAGTAAAAACTTTAAAAAATCTTCTTTTAAAGAACCCAAAGAGCTAGAGCTAAGATATTTAGCATGAAACATATTCTAATGGATGTCTACCAAGTTTGTTCAAATAAAAGCCCTGGGGTCAAAATTGGCCCCGCCCCAGGGGGTCATTGATTTTCCCTATATGCATATAGTAAAAACTTTAAAAAATCTTCTTTTAAAGAACCCAAAGAGCTAGACCTAAGATATTAAGCATGAAACATCTTCTAATAAGTGTCTATCAAGATTGTTCAAATAAAAGCCCTGGGGTCAAAATTGGCCCCGCCCCAGGGTCATTGATTTTCCCTATATGCATATAGTAAAAACTTAAAAAAATTTCTCTTAAAGAACCCAAAGAGCTAGAGCTAAGATATTAAGCATGAAACATCTTCTAATCAGTGTCTACCAAGATTGTTCAAATAAAAGCCCTGGGGTCAAAATTGGCCCAGCCCCAGGGGTCATTGATTTTCCCTATATAAATGTAGTAAAAACTTAAAAATCTTCTTTTAAAGAACCCAAAGAGCTAGAGCTAAGATATTTAGCATGACACATCTTCTAATGGGTGTCTACCAAATTTGTTCAAATAAAAGCCCTGGGGTCAAAATTGGCCCCGCCCCAGGGGTCATTGATTTTCCCTATATACATAGAGTAAAAAGTTAAAAATCTTCTATTAAAGAACCCAAAGAGCTAGAGCTAAGATATTTAGCATGAAACATGTTCTAATGGATGTTTACCAAGTTTGTTCAAATAAAAGCCCTTGGGTCAAAATTGGCCCCGTCCTAGGGGTCATTGATTTTCCCTATATTGCATATAGTAATTAAAAACTTAAAAATCTTCTTTTAAAGAACCCAAAGAGCTAGAGCTAAGATATTTAGCATGAAACATGTTCTAATGGGTGTCTACCAAGTTTGTTCAAATAAAAGCCCTTGGGTTAAAATTGGCCCTGCCAGGGGGAGGGGGGGGGGGCAAAAGTCATTGTTTTTTATTATTTGTGTATAGTAAAAACTTAACATCATGAAACATCTTCTAATGGGTGTCTTCCAAGTTTGTTCAAATAAAAGCCCTTTGGTTTAAACTGGCCCCGCCCTGGGGGCCTATGTACAGGTGAGCGACCCCAGGGCCATCATGGCCCTCTTGTTTTATCTATTCCTTTGCCTCATTCTTTATTTGAAGGCATACAGATACTGTTAGTTTTCCATTTCCTTATAGTGTACATTAAGATGGTCATACCATAACTTTAAACCAATGGCAGTATATATTCATAATTTTATAGCTTTATTAAAATAATTGAACTTGATTTTTCTTCATTTTTTTCAGATTTTGAGACCTAGCTAACAAACATGTTGATTTTGCATGTGAGTCTACCCCTGTGTGTGATTGCTGTTTTAGGGTCTGTTAAAGCTGCTTTCAATTGTCCAGCACAAAATAAATCAGGTTTGATTCTTTTCATTCATTACTATATATACTACAAAAACTTAAGAAAAAATTGTTGTGCTATTAGATCAGACTTTTTATATGCCTAAAATTCTTTTGGGGTATTATTGTTAAGCACCTGGTTGTCTTTAAGCAATTTTGTGATTTTATCTTTTGAACCAATGGAAGGAATTTGAAACTTACTAATCTTTTCTCCAGGGTTATCATATGTTTGATACTTAGTAAACAAATACAAATTCTTGTTTGTTTGGTTTTTAAGTTACACCAACACGGGCATTGGCTTATGGTGACTTTCCAGCTTTACTGGTGGAGGAAGACCTCAGACGCCTTCCTGCATTATTTCAGGCATAAGCAGGCACCTGAGTAGAACCACTGAAGTTTCATAAGCTAGGTTGATAGCTTTTTCACATGAAAGAATTAAAAACCCATGATGGGATTCTCTCCCATGATGATAAGGGGCAATTTTTTTTTAAACAACTATCACCTGAGACAGACTGTTTTAAAACATCAAACTTTAAAATCAAAATGCACTAAATATGTACATAAAAGGTTTGTATTTTTGTGTTCCCACTATTGAAGTGACTGGATCTAATAAATCTTGGTTCATACAGGACTAAACAATGCATACATTTGACATAGATAATTATTATGCTATGCTGTTTAAGTATAGTAAAAAATACAACATCAAATTCAGCAATGAATTGCACTGCTAAAATAAATACATTTTAATAAAGTTATAAGGCTCATAAATGATAGTTTATTTAGTATTTTGTGGTTAGCTTCAGTTTAAGCATATTGCATCTAGTGTAATTTGCAGCAAAGATTTAAGAATTAAACATTAGACAGTTGGAAATGAATATGGAGCACAAAAATGCTATCGGCAAGATCATAAAAAAAAAAAGAAGTTATAAATATGCATTTGAAGTAAAAGTTCTTGCTATTGTTGAAAAAAAAAGATTTTAATTTTAGTCTTATTCTTCTTGCTTAAACTATTTCTCTGATCTTATAAATAATAATCATGAATAGTATTTCTAGCTAATTTTCAAATACAAATGTAGCTCTTAAAATGGCTTGGATTTTTAGCTCAACTATACGAAGTATATGGAGAGCGGTCCTACTCGCCCCGGCGTTGGTGTCCGCGTCCGGATTTCAGATTAAAGTTTTGGTGTGCACAGTAAAATATTTTTCACTATTACTTTTTCATTTCTTAAGGTATCAACTTCAAATATATGTTCCTTATCATCAACCACATCTTATGTGACAAGGTTCACCAATATATTTTAGATTTATCTCCCCTTGAACTTAGAATTTTCCTTAAAAAATACTATTTTTTACTGTTAATTCTTTATTTCTTAAGGGATCAACTTCATACTTCAAACATATGTTCCTTATCATCAACCACATCTTATGTGACAAGGTTCATGACTCTAGCACCAATATTTTCAGACTTATCTACCCTTGAACTTAGGATTTTCATTTACTTATATACTTATATATTTCTTTAGGGATCAACTTCATACTTCAAATATATGTTCCTTATCATTAAACATGTGTTATGTTACAAGGTTCATAACTCTAGCATTAATATTGCAAGAACTATCTCCCCATAAACTTAGATATTTTTTACTTGAAAAATGTTAATTTTTACTATAGCTTCTTTAGTTTTAAAGGTATCTACCTCAAACTTCAAATACTTATTCCTTATCATCAATTACATCTTATGTTACAAGGTTCATAACTCATGGAGCAATATTTTTTAGATTTATTTCTCTTTGAACTTAGGATTTTCTTTAAGACATATTATAACTTTTTTTATTACTTTTTAAGTTATCTACTTCAAACTTCAAATATATATTTCTTATCATTAAACACATGTTGTGTGACAAGCTCCATAGCATGACTATTTCCAGAATTGTTCCCCCTTGAAGTTGGAATTTATGTTAACAAATGTTATTTTTTTATTATAACTTAATACATAATTATACATAATTGATTTTTCTTTCATAGTTTTGTCTTCCTTACTGCATCCAGTATTTTATTAGTCAAGCTTTGCTGTCTCCTGTGACAGCTCTTGTTTTTATAGCAAGTGACATTGTTGCCTGTTGCTGAAAATGCCCAATACAAATTTCTTTTCTGTATTTTAATTTATGGAATGAATGAAAAAACACTGAACTGTTATTGTTATATGAAATAATTAAGCTATAAGACATAATATTATATATTTTTTTGTAAAATAAATTAACATTAATCATGAAAAAGATGATGAAAACACTTAATATTTTGAGGGTAATATGGGTTCCTAGATGGTTCCTAATACCAATATGCTTAAATAAACATACATTACTCAGGTGTTCTATTGCCAACAAATTATTGTTCATCTTTCATAAAAAGACAATGGAATTGGTTGATGGTCTATTCAGACAAACTAATGATATATCTTTGACAAGTCTATTTAGTTGAACTTAACTGTAAGTCAAAATTCTATTGTCAAAGTGGCATACAGGAGTATCCTTGCCACAGGTTATTTAGTTAAGTAGGAACCATGCACACGTTTTCATGGAAAAACAGAAATGTGTCTGATAGGATGGTCCCCTATTTTATGTTTACATGTACAAAGGGACTATATAACAATTATCAATATTTTCTAATATTAAATTTAAGCAAAGTATATCTTTAAAAAAGAATGAAAGAAACACCTGACCATACAAAAAAAGAAGAATAATAATTATAAAACGTTCCCTTTCTTCACCGCCGCAGCGTTTGACCCACCGCTCTTGTGAAAGCTGTGGCCAGTGTGATATAAGGTCTTATTGATATTAACTTTTGTTCAAGATGAAACGACCATTTTCATTGGCTGAAATAAGTCGTGGCCACAAGATAATAATTCGTGGCCACGAGATAATAAGTCGTGGCCTCAATATAATAAGTCGTGGCCACGAGATAATATATTGAGGCCACAAGATAATATCTTGAGGCCACAAGATAATAACTCGTGGCCACGAGATAATAAGTCGTGGCCACGAGATAATATCTTGAGGCCACGAGATAGTAAGTTGTGGCCACAAGATAATAACTCGTGGCCACGAGATAATATCTTGAGGTCACAAGATAATAAGTCGTGGCCACGAGATAATAAGTCGTGGCCACAAGATAATAAGTCGTGGCCACGAGATAATATCTTTAGGCCTCAAGATAATAAGTCGTGGCCACGAGATAAAATAAAACTGCAAATGTCACCTCTATGCCACCGTACAGTGATCATCAGTTTCCAGTCATTATCTTAGTAACGGTTGCACCCGTTCATCTCAAATTTGACATATGGATATATCATGAGAAAAAACAGGTCAAGTTCGAATTTGGTCTTGGTCCATTGATTTTTTAACAGAGTTATGCCCCTTGATGAAATTTTCAGTATTTGACATTGTCTATACCACTGTTCTGTTATCATGTTGTCTGATTGTAGTCTGACAAAACAAGTATTTGACATTGTCTTTCCCACTGTTCTGCTATCATGTTGCCTGATTGTGGTCTGACAAAACAAGTATTTGACATTGTCTATACCACTGTTCTGCTATCATGTTGTCTGATTGTGGTCTGACAAAACAAGTATTTGACATTGTCTATACCACTGTTCTGTTATCATGTTGTCTGATTGTAGTCTGACAAAACAAGTATTTGACATTGTCTTTCCCACTGTTCTGCTATCATGTTGCCTGATTGTGGTCTGACAAAACAAGTATTTGACATTGTCTTTCCCACTGTTCTGCTATCATGTTGTCTGATTGTGGTCTGACAAAACAAGTATTTGACATTGTCTATACCACTGTTCTGCTATCATGCTGTCTGTTTGTAGTCTGACAAAACAAGTATTTGACATTGTCTATACCACTGTTATGCTATCATGTTGTCTGTTTGTAGTCTGACAAAACAAGTATTTGACATTGTCTTTCCCACTGTTCTGCTATCATGTTGTCTGATTGTGGTCTGACAAAACAAGTATATGACTTTGCTTTTACCACTGTTCTGCTTTCATGTTGTCTGTTTGTGGTCTGAAAAAAACAAGTATTTGACATTGTCTATACCACTGTTCTGCTATCATGTTGTCTGATTGTAGGCTGACAAAACAAGTATTTGACATTGTCTATACCACTGTTCTGCTGTCATGTTGTCTGATTGTGGTCTGACAAAACAAGTATTTGACATTGTCTATACCACTGTTCTGCTATCATGTTGTCTGTTTGTAGTCTGACAAAACATGTATTTGACATTGCCTATACCACTGTTCTGCTATCATGTTGTCTGATTGTGGTCCGACAAAACAAGTATTTGATCTTGTTTAACCCAATATTCTGCTATCAAGTTTGAATTTGGTCTTGGTCCATTGATTTTTTAACAGAGTTATGCCCCTTGATGAAATTTTCAGTATTTGACATTGTCTATACTGCTGTTCTGCTATCATGTTGTCTGATTGTGGTCTGACAAAACAAGTATTTGACATTGTCTATACCACTGTTCTGCTATCATGTTGTCTGATTGTGGTCTGACAAAACAAGTATTTTGACATTGTCTATACCACTGTTCTGCTATCATGTTGTCTGTTTGTGGTCTGACAAAACAAGTATTTTGACATTGTCTATACCACTGTTCTGCTATCATGTTGTCTGATTGTGGTCTGACAAAACAAGTATTTGACATTGTCTATACCACTGTTCTGCTATCATGTTGTCTGATTGTGGTCTGACAAAACAAGTATTTGACCTTGTCTATACCACTGTTCTGCTATCATGTTGTCTGATTGTGGTCTGACAAAAACAAGTATTTGACATTGTCTATACCACTGTTCTGCTGTCATGTTGTCTGATTGTGGTCTGACAAAACAAGTATTTGACCTTGTCTATACCACTGTTCTGCTATCATGTTGTCTGATTGTGGTCTGACAAAACAAGTATTTGACCTTGTCTATACCACTGTTCTGCTGTCATGTTGTCTGTTTGTGGTCTGACAAAACAAGTATTTGACATTGTCTATACCACTGTTCTGCTATCATGTTGTCTGATTGTGGTCTGACAAAACAAGTATTTGACCTTGTCTATACCACTGTTCTGCTATCATGTTGTCTGTTTGTGGTCTGACAAAACAAGTATTTGACATTGTCTATACCACTGTTCTGCTATCATGTTGTCTGATTGTGGTCTGACAAAACAAGTATTTGACATTGTCTATACCACTGTTCTGCTATCATGTTGTCTGATTGTGGTCTGACAAAACAAGTTAAATGTTGGAGAATCCATGCCCTATGCTCATTCTTTTTAACTTTGCTGTGTTTATTTAAGGTGATTTCATTTTTATGCACCCGATGGTTGGCATATTAAAATCACACTGTCTGTCAATCAATCTAAGGGTCCCACCATCAATCTGAGCGTCATGCATGGAAGGATTTTGTAATAACTTGGCACAAGTTTCTACCATGTCATGATGATGTGTCGCGTCTAAAACCCATGTCCCTACTTATAGTTTGAAGGTTTTAAATAACCTAGCATATATGTGTAACAAAGCATTCCCTGAGTCAAAATGCTCTAAATGAATTAAAAAATTCTTCAAGGTCAAGGTCACACATATAGTTTGAATATTCTCATTCTCACAAGGAAAGTTTGAAAGTACACATTCGTGTCTAGACTGTAACTTTATTATGCACTGAAGGATTTTAAGATAAAATATTTGGAAGGAACATACCTCAAATGGTGCATTTTTGGGAGTCATGAGGTCAAAGTCACTTGGGCTAACAACAGAATTTTTACACTTTTTCTTATACAGCCTTTGTGTGTGTTTTTACCAATGTCTCATATTTAGAAGAAAGCAGGTGGTCCTTTAAGTTTAGGGTCACTGGGTTCAAGTCAAGGTCTGGCATTTATATACATATTTTAGAATTTTTTGTTGGTAAGTTAAACATTTACTAACCTCATCACATGCCTTATATTTAGCTTATATTTTCCCATTAACAGAACATGACTCTGTCAAGTTATACAACTGAGCAGTGATTAATCTAGAAATTCCTTACAATGCGTCCGACGACCTTTGCTATTTGTATCATTCCAGATTTAAAAAACATGCAGGTACTAAGGCTATCTAAAATAAAACCACATCAAGATGTTTACATTTTAATAAGGTTATTTTGACAAAGTTCAAAAACTCAACAGACCTTTGATCACATCAAAGAGACATGTTGACAATCACCAGCCAAATATAATTAGGTTGTTTACCATACAACAAATCTTGTTTTGTTTTACATTGTCCGCTTGAGATATGAAACAGCTGGTAATGTTCACATATTTAGAATGGATAGATATGTTTTTTGTGTGAAAAACATTTTCCTTTGATATTTCACCATTGTAGGCGGTCCATCGATTCGCTCTCGTGCAAAAGGGACGCTCTGTTTTGCTAATGCTGAGAAATCATGGGCGGTTACCAAACACATGCGATTTAATGTTTTCGGCAAATGGGGATGAGTCTTGCACCTGTATGATTGTCAGAAATTTAATTATTCAACTGAAGAAATTGAAAAATTATTCAACTGATGAAATTAAACTAATCAAACAGTATATAGAAGTCACTAACTGTGATATTTTGGATTATAAACTACCAGATTTGAATGTGTGGCATGCACATAGTTTGAAACTCACAGTGCATCTTTTTCATTTTTTTATGCATATTTTACGCAGGTACATCTAGATTTATCACTGATTGATTTATCAATTTTTCTATCCATAATAGAGTGAATGGGTTAACCCTTTTTTGAATAATTATTACTGACAAGAATCTGTGCCAGGGGCATTTGTGTTTAACAAACATGTTATTGTTTTACTTTAAAAAAGCTTTGAAAAGAAAAACACAAGTTAACAAAGTTTTTATTAAATTTCAGCGGAACTGAGATTTACTGTAGAACTTGGTAGCAAGGACTATGTTAGAATTAATCACGGTGTTGATATACCATGCTGTGCTGAAGGTTATGAAAATATCACATGGTACAAGGAAGTCAATGGAACTTTGAAGCCTGCCCCATCAGAATCAGAAGTACTGCATGATGGACAGGTACTCCAGTTTCTTGATATTCAAGACACTGATGCTGCAACATACAGATGCCATGTTGTTGGACAATCAAAAGTTATCTATCATGATACACAAATAGTTGTTGAAGGTAAGAACTCTCTCTTTAAATGTTTTTTATTTATTACTTTAAAAAGATTTCGATATTTACATAATCTTGTACAATATGACCCTGTACCACCCATTACGAGCACTGATAAAAACTACTCATTTTTGTGCTCCCCTGGCTATAGGTTCCCCATTTAGATTTGGCCTTGTCTGTTGATTTGTTGTTGTGTGCGTTCACCTGTTGTCGCATGTAGCTCTAAAAGAGCTTGAGGTAGAGTCATCAATATTAACAGAAATGTTGATCAGCATGTGAAGCTGTGCACCTGGGGATTTGCTAGTTGATAAATACAGTTTTGTCACAGTTTTTGCCATTGACTTAGTAAAAATTGGCAATGCCTGTTTGCAAAACGGATTGTATTATACATGTAGTTTTCCCCTGGCGGACAGGCTAGTTGGCTGGGCCACATCCAATTTTTGTCCTGAGCATATCTCCTACACACATTGAGGAAACTTCATAGAAATGTTCACCAGTATGAGAAGCTGTGTTGCGCACATGAATCGGTTCTATAGATCAAAGGTCAACGTCACACTTAGAGATCATTTAAAAACGCTTGTCGGGAGCAAAACTCTAGAAGGATTTAAATATAACTTGGCACAAATGTTCACCATTGTGAGACGGATTTAAATATAACTTGGCACAAATGTTCACCATTGTGAGGCTGTGTAGCTTGCAAAATTCAGGTCCCTGCGGCCAAGGACAAGTTCACACAAAGGGGTCAAAATTTAGGTCAATAATTTAGGTTGATATATGCCAGGTCAAGGTCACTAAAGATGATAGTCAAGATCACTAAAGATGATAAAATGGTTCATAGCATATCTCCTACACCTATGGAGGGATTCTAATGGAACTTCATACAAATGTTCACCACTATAAGAAGCAGTGTAACGTGCATGAACCAGGTCTGTAGGTTAAAGGTTGAGATCACTCTTAGAGGTCATTGAAAAGTGCTTGTTTGGAGTCGAACTTCTACATTCACTGAGGGATTTTAATGTAACCTGGCACCAATGTTCACCATTACAAGGCTTATTGCACAGTAAGGCTCCCATGATTTCTTCTTTTGATAAACTTTGACACGATTACCAAAAACCGAAATAATACTGTTTAAACGGTGGTGCTTCTAAGTAGTATACATTAACCCTGAATTAAAGTTGCTAAATGATTACTTACTTTCTATTTTTAATACATAATTATCATGGTTTGTTACAAGGGAGTCAGCACAAATTTTCTACACTGTATTCCTGTTTCACTCTTTTGAAAGATCAAAGGAAAATCAACTTTACCAAAAAAGTTCTTTGTCACAAAGCATTTATTGCATGGTGATTCTGCGTGAAGAGTTGTGAATGCCCTAATTCTGTTTTTATGCTCCCCAAAAAATTTCGGGGGAGCATATAGTCGGCGCCTTGTCCGTCTGTCCGTACGAACCCAGAGGTACTTGTGTGACTTGGAGAAGAATGGGTAACAGTGATCCTATTCATTCCATTTTTACTTGTGTGTCTTTTTTAAGCCTTGTGCGACTAAAAATGGACAAAAAGATCAAAGAAAAATCACATAAGTACCATTTTGTGAGTATGTCTGTCTGTCCGTCCGTTGTCTTGTCCGGAGCATAACTTGAAAACCCTTGGAGATAATTTGTTTAAACTTCATACAGTGGTAGAGGGCATAGAGGGGGAGTGCAGTGTCAAAGAACCATAACTCTATTTTGCCTGGTTTTTGAATTATCTCCCCTTATAGAAAAATCTTGTCCGGGACATAACTCTAAAACTATAAGAGATATCAACATGAAACTTTGTAGGTGAATAGATCTCAATGGGTAGATGTGCAGTGCATAAGAATCATAACTCTGCCCTGCCTAATTCTGGAGTAATTGCCCTTTGTTTATTTTTTCTTTTTGAACTTTGTCTGGGAAATTACTCTAAAATTATAATGCTCCCCGAATATGTTTTGGACACAGGAAAGTACACCTCTTGTAGTTTCAGAGTTATGTCCCTGGAAAAAGTTCAAAGTGCAATGAATCCAAAATTAGGCAAGGAAGAGTTACTGTTCTTTGCACTGCATTTCTAATCAATGTGATCTATCAACCTACAATGTTTCTTGTTGATATCTCTTATGGTTTCCGAGTTATGTCCCAGACAACTTCAAAAAGTAAAAATAAACAAAGGGCAATAACTCCAGAACTAGGCAAGGCAGAGTTATGATTCTTGTGCACTGCACATCTACCAATGAGATATATCTACCTACAAAGTTTCATGTTGATATCTCTTATAGTTTTACAGCTATGTCCTGGACAAGATTTTTCTAAAAGGGGAGATAATTCAAAAATGAGGCTTAACAGAGTTATGGTTCTTTTGCACTGCACTTCTACTCAATGAGATCTATCTACCTACAATGTTTCATCTTGATATCTCTTATAGTTTTAGAGTTATGTCCCGGACAAAGTTCAAAGTGTTAAAATTAACAAAGGGCAATAACTCCAAAATTAGGACAAAAAGAGTTATTGTTCTTATGCACTGCACATCTACCCATTGAGATCTATTCACCTACAAAGTTTCAAGTTGATATCTCTTATAGTTTTGGAGTTGTGTCCCAGACAAGATTTTTCTACAGACGGACAAGGCGCCGACTATATGCTTCTCCGAATTTTTTCGGGGAGCATAATAAAGCCGTAACTATGTCTCCAGTTGTTGTGTTAGTATTAACCAGTACTTGGTTCAACAAATTTGCTTGTTTAAAATTGTGATATTACCAAGCAAATTTATTATTTTTAGCTTGACTTGTTTTGAAGAATCATTTTGAGTTTTTTCTACAGTCATGGTGTTGTTGCCCTCTGCAAACTGTTTCATTTGTTACAATTTTTTTTGATAATTTAGCTTTGGTTAAATAGAACTAACATTTAAAAAAAAGTTCATGTATGTTTCAGAGTGTGATAAACTTCCAAGAGGTCCATATCTGGTTGACCCATTTCCAGAAAACCAGACTATTTATGATTATGGTGGAAGTATCACTTTTCACTGTACAGGTTATTTTGGTTGCACAGAAATAGGAGATGCTCATTTAGTATTGTGGGAAGTTGAAGGATCAAGCAAACCAATTACAAACATCAGTTCTAGATATTCTATCACAAATATAAAAGATGACAGGTATGTATAATTATAATGATAATTATTGTAAATGTCTCATTGATGATACTGATCCTGTCAATTGACATTATGCCGCCTGTCAATCAAGCTGGCAGGGGTCTTACAGATAAGCCAATCAACGATCGTTATCAGTTTCACGCTAAGATGACTGCGTAGTCCACCATTTTCCTTAGGCAAAATGTTAATAGGACAATGGTGCAGAAGCAATATTATTAAAATTATGTTAATTTTCTGTCAATTTAAAGCTATTAAATCCAGAGCTCTAGATAGCATGCATATCAGCGTGAAATACATATGGAAAATTCAAAATACACATCACTTTCAGAATTCATGCATCACAGTTTAAAAATACACATCTATATCAAAACACATGCGTGAACAATAGTTGTGTATATGTTTGATATTTATGAAAAAGATGTTTTGATGTCATAAAAATATAATATATTTCTGTTTTATTGGATTGAAAACTGAAAATACTGTTGTATACATGTATAAGGCTGTGTCTTCAAAATGAAAGACTTTAGTAGCAGGAAGTAACATACTGGTATGTACAGAAGGGAGGTAACTCATGAAAATATAACAGGTCCTAAAATGATTGTTAAAATTAATGCGGCAGATAATCACCTAATATTCAATAAGTTTAGCATTGTCATGCTCGTGCTAAAAATAAACAAAAACATTTTAATGTCTGTCACTTTTGTTGTTGGAAAAACGTATTACATTAAAGACTGTCATAGTGACCCCCTGTATATAGCAACGTTCTGTTTTCATTGACCATAGTTAGGTGCACCAAACAGTATTTACTATATAAATGGTCTGTATATAGTGACTCCCTGTCTAGTCAGTACAACAACAATGATTTATTGTCTCCCGTTATGGTATATAAGCCGTGCAAAGTGACTTTTACAAGGGGTGTAACTCGAATGGGGTTACCAAAAAGTTAAGAAGTTTTTAAGAAATTAAAATTAAAGCATATCTGAGGCATAATGGGGCTTTATGGAAGTAAGAAAGTGACATAAAAAGATAAGGGAAGCAAGACAAAATAAAAGTTAAGGACATATGAAGGTGAATATTATGGGAAACCAGAATGTGTACAATTAAAAGTTAAACTAAAGGTTTCAAACAAATTAAACACCATTTTCTCCCTATATTCTACTGTATGTGTTTTCCGTGCCCTGTCCTGTTTTTGTTTGGGGTCCGCCTGGGCTCCTTGCCACTGGTTCTTGTTGCTGGGTCATGTGGGGGTTGCGTTCATTGAACGCCGCCTTTCCTTGTTGATCTTGTTTATCATATTTTATTGTAGATAGTGTATCTTATTAGTAAAATTTAATTTAAACAAAAAAATTTTTTTCTAATACATTTATCAATATATATAAATTATATTTTTATTCAATATGTAACTTTTAAATACTAATGTAAAGGTGTAGTTCATAACCTTAACCAATTACACATGCAAATTTAATACTGTCTTGTTTTTATAACTGATGTGTGGTATGTTTAATATATGTTTAATATAAATAAAAGATATAATTAAACCCTAAGTATGGTACTTTCCTGCTTTTCAACAAAATATTGGCAGAATATGTTCATATATCCAAATATTGTAGAAACTCTTCACAGTGATTCCCTGTCTATAATGACCTTTTTTCTTTTCTCCCATCAAGGTCACTGTAAACAGTTTTTACTGTACTCCCATTCTTTTCAATAATTTCGTACCCAGATTACAGTTACAATTTTCTCTGAGACCATTACTTTTTTTAAGTAAAGATATAAATCTTTCTTGTTTACTTTTTAAATTCTAATGTTAATTATAATTATTAATTGTTCAAAATTGAGAAAAGGCAGAAAAAATGTAGAAAATAGTCAAAGAACTGACCAATGGAGATTGTAAAATAGTGTGACACATTTTCAACTGTGGTATCAGTATACCTAGCCTAAGGATGTCTGCCCTTACAGAACATGATTTGTATTGTTTCGCACAGAATCAATATTTCTTATCACTTCCCCTCGGAGCGTACTCAACACTGAGAAGGCACAGGGCATCGGCAGAAGATTTGAAGACTTGGGATGGGGCAAAATATCAGAACTTATATTGCAGACCAGCTGTCAATGTCCTGACTAATGCCGTGGGGAGTGGCCCTACAAAGTAAGCTAAGACGACAAGAATGGTGTCCTAGGGTGCGTGAGCCCCTAGCACGGATAGACAGCTTGAATGGCAGGTCCTTTTCTGGCACCAAGCCCTTTTAAGGGCTACCCTTTTATTATTGTCTCAGGTTTTCATTGACAGTAGTAAAGTGACCTACTTTGGATTTGGCTAAAACTCCATGGAATTTGCATGGAGGTAAATTGTCACCACTTTGTGCTTCAAAATTTACTCTTTAAGGGCATGACTGGTGTCAGTTGTCCAGGGTCCGTACTCAACAGCGAAAGCTGCATTTTGTGCCCTTGCTGGCAGATGGAACCTCATTAAGCATAGACTACACACACACAGAATCAATATTTTGTTTGTAAAAGTTTTTTCTAAAAATGTCAGTTTGATTTTATTATTATAAAAAAATTGCTAAATGCTTTGTATAGATTTTACCCCTTACATTTTTCAGAATTTACATTTTACCTCTCAATGGGTAAAAACCCCTTGGCCAAATCTGCAACACGATGTCATTATTTTCCCGCAAATTAAACATATGATTATTAACCTTTCTAAAGACAATTTGACCTCAAGAAAAACCTTCATATTAGAGCTACACAGTGGAACACCAAATGTTGGTTTTATTGAGGATGAGCGAGCTGTAGAAAAAACAAGATTGCAAATATAATAATTAATTTACTATAAATATTTTAGGTGAAACAATCTTGAATCTGTGAATATTTCTATAAAATTTCAATAAATTAAGATTAAACATTTGAATTCATCTACTTAAGAAACTAATACGAATAACATCATGTCTGATGTATGTGAAGCTTATTTTAAAGAGAATAACATTGTGTTTTATCGCGAATCATATCAAATGTACAAAAATATATAATCATATATTATACAAAGTTACGCAAGGGCAATTTTCTCAATCAATTTTAACTATACATGAACAAATGTATTATTTAAACTGAATTTTGCACACAAAAAAACCTTAAAATGATTGTAAAAGTTACTGTGTCACTGATACAATTTTACTATTTATATTTCACTACTTCAATTTCAAACCTAAATGATTATAATACTTTTCTACATTATAACCTCTCTTTGAATTTGTAAGACATAATGATATTTTGTCAGTTTAAGATCTTCATTAAAGTCAGCGAGAAATAACAGGATATTTGCAAAACTTTATATGAGCATTGATACATGAATACAGATATATTTTACTTTTTTGAATACAATAATTTATTGGACTATTTTATTAATCATTAAAATTTTATATATACCAAAATTATATAAGGTAAATTCAGTAGTCACATACCGGTAATAGTTTTATGAAAACATCGGTTCTGTCTTTGGTTCTGAATGACTATGTCACATGAATCAGTGGGCGGAGCTTTCTCTTCTTTGGCGTAATGTCAATTATATTGTTGTTCCTTAATGCAATATTTAGGCCTTAACATGCTATTATGGAAACATTTATAATAGTTAGCTCCATTCTCTTGATGACATTAACTTTTTAGAACCCAGAGTTGAAACTGCCAGTTAAACAAACAAAAAAAACAAACTGATTTATTGTAACATCAGTTACAGAATATGGCATGCAGTTAGTTAATCTGACACAGACAATGCATATTTACCAGATTTTTTGGCAAAGTTCACTTTGATTTGTTGACAGAGTGAAATGGGAATATACCTGGCAAAGTTCACTTTGATTTGTTGACAGAGTGAAATGGGAATATACCTGGCAAAGTTCACTTTGATTTGTTGACAGAGTGAAATGGGAATATACCTGGCAAAGTTCACTTTGATTTGTTGACAGAGTGAAATGGGAATATACCTGGCAAAGTTTTTTACCTGAATCGCCCAGATAAGCCCAGGTCACATACTAAATTTTTGCTTGCCTTTCAATTTTCAGGTCTGACAAGTTAAAGATAGGTTCCACATTGACGATAAATTCTGTACGTAAGGAAGATGTTGAAAGAACCTTCATTTGTATTTTAGCTTCCACTCAGAAGATTGATGGTCAAATGTTCAAAAAAGTCAGGATTTTCAAGAAAGGTACAAAGTATTTCTTTAAGGCATTGCTACAGGTACAAAGTGAGTCATGACAATGAAGAAAAAATATCCTTTTTTTTGCATAATGTTTAATAATGATAATGCCATTCAAAAGTTTATAGTGTCCATAAAATTCATATAGAAACACGAGAATTTGACTTACAATTATAACAAGTCAAATCTCATTTTAATAAAACTATAGCCAAATCTCATTTTAAAAAAAAAACACTCTTAAGTTGAAAATTTTACCGTGATGATTCTTACTGAAAATGCATAAATTGCAATAAATCTTAAGATATAAGCTTTACATAGTAATATTTATATCCCATTGAATTTTATAACTCTGAGACCTTGGTGCAGAATGCAATGAACATGCTGTGGACGCAAAGTTTCAAGTTATGTGCATTTTTTGGATTCATGCTTTTATGGGTTTTTTTATGCCCCCGGGCATATAGTGATTGAACCGTCCGTCCGTCCATCCTTCCGCACTCACAGGACAGTAATTATGTGGTTAGAGGGACAATAGGTAACTGTTCTTTCTCTTTGATGTCATTCATTCCGTAATGCTTTTATGTGGCTATTTTCTTTTGTGTGGCTAAAAAGAACAATAGAGAGAACTATTGAGTAGCCACATTATTACTCTCCTGTTAGAACGTCCGTCCGTCTGTCCGTACGAGGTTAACCTAGAACGGCAAGTTGGATTTTTCTTAAGTTCTACCTGTACCAATGATCTGGGCAAGTTTCATAACTCTGGCTTTCATATTTACCAAGTTATTGCCCTTTTCAGCATTTAGAAAATGAATAATGGTTAACCTAAAACGGCAAGTTGGAAATATCTTAAGTTCTATCTATACTAATGGCTTTATAATTTCCACACTTACTTATCAATACAAAGTACATGATATTGCCAAGTTATATAACTGTGTCATCCATATTTCCCAGTTATTTCCCTTTTTTCACTTTGAAAATAGGGCCTTGTCTGGTTAACCTATTTTGGCAAGTTGGATTTATCTTAAATTTCTCCTAATTGCTTAATTTCTTTAATGATATCTTTCATATTTAGTAGGTGGATACCTTTGATGGTCCTCTAATTTTTTGTGGAGTAAGTGGTCTAGGGTCAAGGTCAAGGTCACTGGTTTAAAAAATAAATATAAACATTTTTGCTCATACAGCCTTTATATTTTATGTGATGTCTTTCATGTTTAATACAAACATGCCAAGGGTGGTCCTCCTTCTTTGGGTGTAGTAAGGGGTCATTTGGGTCAAGGTCAATGTTACCGATGTCAAGGTCACCAATGTTAAAAATAGATTTTTACATTTTTAGCTCGACTATTCGAAGAATATGAGAGCTATTGTAGTCGCCCCGGCGTCGGCGTCAGCGTCTGCGTTGGTTAAAGTTTTTTGTAAAGTCAAATATCTCAATTATTGCTTGAGATATTCAATTGAAACTTACAATACTTATTTATAGTAACAAGGTACATCAGATTGACAAGTTGGATAACTCTGCCTACAATATTGACAGAATTATGCCCCTTTTTAACTTAGAAATTTTGGTTAAAGTTTTTTTGTAAAGTCAAATATCTCAATTATTTCTTGAGATATTCAATTGAAATTTAAAATACTTTTTTATAGTAACAATGTACATCAGTTTGCAAAATTGCATAACTCTGCCTGCAATATTTGCAGAACTATTTGCCCCTTAAATTTGAAACTATTGTAGTCGCCCCGGCGTCGGCGTCGGCGTCAGCGTCTGCGTTGGTTAAAGTTTTTTGTAAAGTCAAATATCTCAATTATTGCTTGAGATATTCAATTGAAACTTACAATACTTATTTATAGTAACAAGGTACATCAGATTGACAAGTTGGATAACTCTGCCTACAATATTGACAGAATTATGCCCCTTTTTAACTTAGAAATTTTGGTTAAAGTTTTTTTGTAAAGTCAAATATCTCAATTATTGCTTGAGATATTCAATTGAAATTTAAAATACTTTTTTATAGTAACAATGTACATCAGTTTGCAAAATTGCATAACTCTGCCTGCAATATTTGCAGAACTATTTGCCCCTTAAATTTGAAACTATTGTAGTCGCCCCGGCGTCGGCGTCAGCGTCTGCGTTGGTTAAAGTTTTTTGTAAAGTCAAATATCTCAATTATTGCTTGAGATATTCAATTGAAACTTACAATACTAATTTATAGTAACAAGGTACATCAGATTGACAAGTTGGATAACTCTGCCTACAATATTGACAGAATTATGCCCCTTTTTAACTTAGAAATTTTGGTTAAAGTTTTTTGTAAAGTCAAATATCTCAATTATTTCTTGAGATATTCAATTGATACTTACAATACTTATTTATAGTAACAAGGTACATCAGATTGACAAGTTGGATAACTCTGCCTACAATATTGACAGAATTATGCCCCTTTTTAACTTAGAAATTTTGGTTAAAGTTTTTTTGTAAAGTCAAATATCTCAATTATTGCTTGAGATATTCAATTGAAATTTAAAATACTTTTTTATAGTAACAATGTACATAAGTTTGCAAAATTGCATAACTCTGCCTGCAATATTTGCAGAACTATTTGCCCCTTAAATTTGAAACTTAGAAAATTTTGGTTAAAGGTTAAAGGTTTTCAAAAATATTTACTTGAAACTTTACACATGTACTTAGGGTCATAATTTGAGGGTCATAATTGTATGTCACTGACCAAGTTCCATAACTCTATCCTGCATTAAGGCTGATTCATATCCCCTTTTCTACTTAGTCTCTTGGTTAATGTTTACATGCAAGTTTTACATATCTCAATAACTATTAAAGATATTTATTTAAAACTTCACATATGCATTTAGGGTCATAATTGTAGGTCACTGACAAAGATCCATAATTCTATCTTGCATTTAGGCTGATTTTCTCCCCTTTTTCAACTTAGAAATTCATGGTAAAGTTTTGCTTGTAAGCTGTTATCTCTGTAATTACTGAAGGGTTTGTGCCTTTTTTGGGACAATTATATGCATTCATAATAATAAAGCAGTGATTTACTTGATAAAACATCTTAATAACAAGCCTTTGTACCTTTTCTGTCAATTTTATGTATTCATAGGTAATTAGTATTATTATACTCAATAAAACACCCTCTTGTGACATTACCTTCCGAATAGCCAAGCCAATACTGTATAATTAGACTGTCTCTAAGGCCTATAACATGAATTTATAAAAAAAAATTAGCCCTTTTGTGAACTTAGAAAATTTAACATTATCAAAGCTCTAAATTTTACGTTATCAAGGCTCTTTTACTATCAAACACTTAGAATAGTCGAGCGTGCTGTCCTACCGACAGCTCTTGTTTACATGTGTATTGACCTTATTCTATAGACAGATGTTATTTATAATTGATAGCAACATAAACTTTGATGGAGTTAGTGGTCAGTTGGGTCAAGGTCACCAGTGCTAAAAAAAGATTTTTACACTTTTGCTCATACAGCCTTTATTAAGTGACAGATATATTTTATATTTGGTAGGAAGATAACTTGCATGGTATTCATCCTTTTGATTGGGGTAGGGATCAGTGGGTCAAGGTCACTTGTGCTAAAAATAGATTTTTACACTTTTGCCCATACAGCTTTTATTTATTGAAAGATATGTATTTCATATTTGGTAGGAAGATAACTTGGATGGTATTCATCCTTTTGATGGAGTAAGGGGTCAGTTGGGTCAAGGTCACCAGTGCTAAAAATAGATTTTTACACTTTTGCCCATACAGCCTTTATTTATTGACAGATGTATTTCATATTTGGTAGGAAGATAACTTACATGGTATTCCTCTTTTGGATAGAGTTATGGGTCAGTTTGGTTAAGGTCACCAGTGCTAAAAATAGATGTTTACACTTTTGCCCATACAGCCTTTATTTATTGACAGATGTATTTCATATTTGGTAGGAAGATAACTTGCATGTTATTCTTACTTTGGATGGAGTTAGGGGTCAGTTGGGTCAAGGTCACAAGTGCTAAAAATTGAATTTTACACTTTTGCCCATACAGCCTTTATTTATTGACAGATTTATTTCATATTTGGTTGGAAGGTAACTTGCATGGTATTCTTCTTTTGGATGGAGTAAGGGCTCAGTTGGGTCAAGGTCATCAATGCTCAAAATAGATTTTAACATTTTTGCCATTACAGCCTTTATTTATTGACGGGTGTATTTCATATTTGGTAGGAAGATAACTTGCATGATATTCTATAGGTGTCAGTGGGTCAAGGTCAAGGGTGCCAAGTATAGATTTCTTACATTTATATATATTTGATAAAGTTGAATATTTATCACTTCACAAGTCAATGCAATGACTTGGCAACTTATTTATTTCACAATTACAAAATGCCATGACTCTGTCAAGCTATATAACTTGTGTTTACAATTTTTTGGCAATGTTTCTGTCCATAACTGAGTGAATGGGTAAACATTTTTTGAAATATTGCTACTGACAAGAATCGGAGCCGGGGGGCATTTGTGTTTAACAAACACGTTCTTGTTTAAAACTGTTTTTTTTTTAATTAGGGGCTATTGGTCTTGTGAAAGGTATTTATCAAGGTTTTACCCATTCTGCCAGGATAATTATTTAAGTTGGAAAAATCAAAAGCAATCTAAATTTAGCTTGATCTTAGATTGTTTGGGGAAAAAAAGTTTGTGGTCACCAATCTTGTTTTCAAGTTATCTAACATTGGATATCAATCTGAAGATTTAAAGATGAATAGATTCCATTGAGAAAAGAACCTTATTGCATTTTATTACATGTTTTGCAGTAGATTACTGGATTATAACGGTTAATTATATTCTGATAATTTCACAGTAATGATTACCAAATATAATTTCACAGTAGCCGAACTATATTTGGCGTAAAAATAAAATATTTATCATTAATGAATGTTTTTTTTCAGCGGAAATGTAGTCAATCATAATAAAAAATGTACGTGATAACTGTAGTTTGTAAATATTTACGAACG